GCAGGTTTAAGCAATGAAAACACACCTGGTGTGTCTGACCCTGAGCCCTGAGGAGCTACACCCCGAGTATGAACAAGCAGGAACGCGCTGCATTCACAGAACCTTTCACTGCCGAAATTGTTTATCCAGGTATGAAGTCGCTTCACGTGGACAAGCAGCTGCTCATCGTGGCCAATGCCCACATGCACTGGGACCCCGAATACTCAGATGTGAAACTCATCCAGACCATGATGTTCGTCTCAGAGCTGAAAAACATCCTGGAGAAAGCCTCAAGCAGGCCCAGTAGCCCGACAGCAGATCCCAACTCTATCCCTCTGGTGCTGTGTGCAGATCTCAACTCGCTACCTGATTCAGGTAAGGCTGGCTTTTTGGCCTGGTTTTTAACTTACCTACTTACAATGTTCGAGTCCACTTCTTCCTGTGAAGGCAGTGGGGTTGTTCTGCACTCGCCAGGGGAGGCACGGGTGAAAGCTTTCCTAGGAACAGCTGCCTTTGGAAATCTGGCTGAAGAGAAGGTGACTTCTCTGGCTGAGTCGCCTGCTTTTTGTGCTCAGCTGGACACTCCAGGAGAGCTGGCTGCACCTACAGAAATGTAGCAAAGCACAGTTAGGTGGTAAATAAATCATGAAATAAACACCCGTGCCTGTATCAGCAATAAGAAGTGGGAAACGATGGAAAGATGAAGACTTTCTAAGGAGAGGGATTTGCTTTGCTAACTCTGATCCCGTGGTGGCTTGGTGGTTTTTAACGTGCCCAGGCCAGAGCTGTCGTTCGAAGCCACTCCCTAACCCTTCCCCTTGCCAACAGGCGTGGTGGAGTACCTGAGCAATGGCATAGTAGCCGACAACCACAAGGACTTCAAGGAGCTGCGCTACAACGAGTGTCTGATGAACTTCAGCGGCAACGGCAAGAACGGAGCCTCGGAGGGCAGGATCACACACGGCTTCCAGCTCAAGAGCGCCTACGACAACAACCTGATGCCTTACACCAATTACACCTTTGACTTCAAGGTAAGCCCCAGCTCTGCCACTCTGCTGTGCCCATTCCCTGCTTTAAGGAGGCTGGATGCCGCCCTCAGCACGCCGTCTCTCTCTCCCCACAGGGTGTGATTGATTACATTTTCTACTCCAACACTCACATGAACGTGCTGGGAGTCCTGGGGCCCTTGGACCCGCAGTGGCTGGTGGACAACAACATCACGGGCTGCCCGCACCCGCACATCCCCTCGGACCACTTCTCGCTGCTGACGCAGCTGGAGCTGCAGCCGCCGCTGCTGCCCCCGCTGGTGAACGGCGTGCACCTGCCCGCCCGCAGGTAGTGCTGCCCTCGCCTGCCCCACGGACCTGTACACTTGTAAATCCCACTGTATAGGAGTGAAGTATGGCCAACCTGCAGCTGCTTCTTCGAGCTCCTTTCCTTATGTGTTTCATACGAGATTTTGCACATTTTGGTGCATATTGGTATCATTTGGCACTAGGGCTGGAACCAAAGTATTATTCCCCTTTCCAGGTTTTTAATTTAATTTTTGTTTGTGGTTTCTTTTTTTTTTTTTTTTTATTATTTTACTTTAAACTGGCTTTTTCTTTTCAGTAGGAAGCTGCACTTCTAAATGGACAAAAGAGATTTAAAAATTTGCATTTAACGTGTTTCAAGGTAATGCTTTTTTCCAGAACGTGGCAAATTGAGCCAACCTTTTAGGAGAAAGAAGAACAAAACTAGAGATGCTTGTTTTGTAGGAAGAATATTAGACATACTGTTTGTTTGAATCCAAAATGGAGACTCAACTCTGCATCCAACATTAATTTTGCACATTAGCAAAGCACTTAATTCCTGACTATAAATGATTGGCAGCATGGCCCTGCCCCTCATCTCAATACTATCAGAAAACCAAAGATAGCCAAGAATCTGTGATCAAATTCGAGCTCTAAATCCTCCTGATTCCAATTTCTTTGGGAGCTGTTGTCAGTCAGGGCTGAAGTAAAAAGCTGCTGGTTCCTTCCCAAATGTTACTGCTCTTTGGATGTGTTGGAAATCCTTGTTTTCTTTCCTTTTAATGCTCTGGGTGGCCAGTTCAAAACCTTGTGCCTCAAGAGGCATTAAACATGATGCAATTTTCTGAAAAAAAACAAACCCTGTTTGGCTGCTTAATGTTTAAAAAAAAAAAAAGGCACAGCGATAGGAAAAGGTCGTGTCTGTGTTTTTAAGTTTTTCTTTATTCTGCTTTTTTGCTGCTATAAGATTTTCTTGAATTTCTATTTGAAACTTTTCATGCACTTTACTGTTTCTAGTCTCCAAATGTGATATTTTTAATAAATGAAAAACATTTTCCATGATGTGAATGAAATTTTTAAGCAGATTGATAAGCCTATATTTATGTCTCATTCGTATACTTCAAAAAAAGTCCAATTTGAATTGTGAAATTAGTTTTAAATACTAAAGAGCCATCTTCTGTCTTGCAAAACTGCCAAGTCAGGCTGTTCCTCTTTAACTAAACATTTCCTTTGTCATTTTATACACAGGAAATTTTCCATAGGGGGGAAAAAAAATATCAATTGGACTTAGAGGAGAAACTATTCCCTGACTCTGACTGGGGGCCAGGGAGGGGGTGGAGCGGGCCAGAACACAAAAATGGATTCAGCAAAGTGACAACTCCCTTGGAAAAGTGCCTAAAAAATGGGGGTGTCATCTATGGTCTGGGATCAATTGGAAGTGATGGGAGCTGGGGGAAATTCCTGCACAGCACTTGCTTTATGCAAAAATAAAACAAAAATGGGGGGGAGAGGGGGTTAGAAAGCCCTTTCCAGAGATGGATTTTCCTCTGGGTGCAGGTATCTCTGTTGGAATATACCTCAGCATTCCCTACCTGGCCATGGCACATGGATTGGAGAGCACAGGAAAGTAGAATAGCATGAAAAACTTAATTTTGTGGACATTACCTTTGTGTATTCAGCTGCTGTATGTTTTTTGAGGAGGGGGATGCTGCACTCCAGGGGGGTGCTCTGACCTGCTCCTCCTGTCCCTCCACACAGGATGATCCCAGCCTGAGCTGTGTTTCCTAACCATACTTCACTCCCACCATTTTTTTTTTTTGAGCTGTTTGTATAAAATGGAATTTCCAATTCGCCCGTGATTGTCTATGAACTGCAGAGGAGCCCATTTAGTAATAAAAATCAAAACCCAGCACCAATGTTTTGTAATATGGGGGTGGGAGAGGACGGGGATGGGAAAAGCCAAACCTTGGCAGATGTTGTAAGCTGCTCCAGCTGCATTTTCCTTTGGTTTCTAGCCATGGAAGTGTTTTGTTGCAGGAAGGTGTTCCATTGGATTTTCTCTGCTGCACTTGCCAACGTTTTTAACACAAAAACGTTATTTTAACAGACATTGCACAAAAAAAAACCCCCAGCCTTGTTTATGTTTCAGTCAGTGCACATGTTTACCTGCCTCTCCTGTGTGGCTCCCTCCTGCTTTTCCCTTCCCAGCAGGAGCACTGAGGGGATGGTGCTTTTTTCCCCAGCCTCAGTTCCCAGCACGTTGGAGGCAGTACCTGGAAAAAATGCTCCAAGCCCTTCCCTGCTCCTCAGTGCCTCGGTTTGCTTCCCAAAACACGGTGCCTGGTGTCCACTCCCTAGGACAGCACTGCCTAAAGCCAGCAGAGAAAACAAAATCCAACACCCTTCTACAAGCAACTTTTTAAAACTCAGATCTGGTGAATTTGTCCAATATGGGGTTTTGTGTGTGTGTATATATATATATACATATATATATATAAAAAAAAGAGAATTTTGTACAATGTAGCTGAATATTTTTGCTTCCTTCTTTCACTGTAAGGAGACAGAACCTTACACAAGTTTGGTCACGCACCCTTTGGTGTTCCAAGGTGACAGAGATCCCAAGAGAACCTGGTGGGAACCACTCACATCTTAATCCTCTCTGCCAAGCATCAGCCAAGAACTCATTTAATTAGAAACCATTTTAGGTGGAGATTATAAACCTCTAGATGCAGGTATGGCACACCCCTCCCTGTGGGAATGGTGAAGGTGAGAGTGATCCCGGTGCTGGGGTTCCTCCATCCTCTGTGGAGGCTCCCACACCATCCTGCAGTGGTTACTTTGAGAGCTCAGGGGTTTTTAAAGTCAGATTTCTTTCTTGTGTGTTGCCTTTACAGCTGGGACGTCCCCGAAAAGATGGAAGTGCAGGGGCAGCTGCACTGTGTACTTCCGTGTCCTTTGGAGTCAACAAACAGCCCTTTTGCAGCCACTCTTGCCCCTGCTGTGGTTCCTGAGGAGCACAGGGCAGGAAGGAGGGGGATACAGAGACTGGGTGGGTGTTTCCCAGCTTGCCACTACCCAGGGACATCCAGTGGGGGTGGGTGGGTAACACCGATTTGATTCTTACAGACCTTAAACACCTCCTCCCAGAATGGCCAAGCCAGGTTGTAAGCAGGGATAATCCCGCCCAGGGTCACAAGTCACACCTGTGCCACCTCAGTCCGTGTGGCCAAGGCACATTCCTGTCCCCATCCCCGGAAAAGGGGACTCCACAGAAAGCCTCAGCCAGTCACTGGCGACTTCTCCACTTGTGTGTTTCCACAGCCAGGAGCCAGCAGCAGACCCTATCCAGCTCCTGCAATTCCCTGCTCCTGCCAGGAGCTGTCAGAAAGAGGCACCAAATCCAGGAGCAGAGCAAAGGTGGCGCGTTCAGAAGTTTCCTCGGCAAAGCAGCCAAAGGCTTTGCAGTGCCACAGTCCACCCCAAAAATCCCAATTTTCACACAAATCCGGGCAGAAAGAGCTGCCACAGCCACAGAGGGGGGAAGCACATTGATCCTTTTATTGGTGGCACCAGGGATGGGCGTGGGGGAACAGCACAGGCACCCAAACCAGGGGAACAGCAGGTGCCTGAGGGAAAGCCTTAGCTGGGGGAGGCAGGGCAAGGCTCCTGCCCCTGCCAAACCAGGGAGCAGAGGCAGCACCAGCGTGGTGCCACCAAACCCAGGGTGTCTCAGGGCAGGGGGGCTGTGTCATGGCTGTCCCACGAGGAATTGATGGCCGTGGACTCGGTGGATGTGGACAGTAGGAGGGACGGGGTGGGGTTTCTCCAAGGGCAGCACGGTGCTTCCCGCCGGGGCCGCGGCAGCGCTTTCTTGGGGCCGTTCCTGCAGATTTTGTGGGAGCAAAGAGACGAAAGTGGGTGGGTCAGGGGGAAGGGATGGTGATGCCAAGGTGCTGGGGATGCTGAGGGTTTTCCAGTCACTGGGCATCACGTACCTCTGTGTCAGCTTGTGGATGAGCAGCTGGATCCAGGGCGCCTCGGGGGTCACGCACACACGCCTGTTCTTCTTCAGGGTGAGGCTGCAAGGCCATGAGGCCTCTCAGCCCCATGCATGTCCCTTCCCCAAAGCTTTTCTAACCCACACAGAAAAGCCCTCTGCTCCCTGGGCATGGATACGAACCCGTGGAATTTTGGAGCCTTGACCTCAGCACCCTGAACCCCCTTGAATTTGGGAAGCAAGAGTCACCCCAATATTTGTGAGCTTCCCCCCACTACGTACTTTTTCACAAGTGCACAAAGGATCAGTTGTAGGGATTGATTTCCAGGCTTTGCACTTACATGACCTCCTTCCTCCTGCAGTGGATGCCGGGCGGGGTAACTTCGATGGTGAGGATCAGCCCCAGGTTGATGACGTGGGCGGTGGATTTGATGCACTTGCACCTCATGTTGGTCAGCAGGCTCTCCAGCGACAGACCTGCGCCCCGGGGCACCCCACACCAGGTCTGGGCCCCCCGTGGGGGAGGCACATGGGGACACCTCCCTCCCCACTATCCCATCCCGCCCCTGACACCCACGGGCTGCTGTTAATGGGGTTTGCAGCAGGGCTAATACCTCCCAGCACAACCTCAAACCTTCTCCTGTACATGGAACGGGTTTAGCTGCAGGGTTGGAAAACTTCTCCAACATTTTCTGAATTCAACCCATTGCCCACCCACCAAGCACTTGAGTTTTGTAGGGGTCTGAAAGAGAAGCAGCTTAAACCCACAAAGCAAAACACCCATTCTCCACTCCCAGCACCCCCCTCCAGCTCAGCCACAGCTCAAAGATAGACAAGAAACAAATCTGAAAGCCTAGTAGAAGCCAGGCTCAGCCCCATCTGGGACACCCAGTGCCAGTGTCCAGGCGTTTAGGGGGGACAGGGATGGACAGACACCCAAAGCCACTCACCACCCCCTGGCACCGAGCTGCTCAGCAGCAGGAGCAGGGCCAGCGCTGCTGGCAGCAGCCGCATCCTCGCTGCCCACCCCAGCTGTGCCAGGGCTGTTTTATAGCCAGCCCCTCGCCCCAGGGGGGATTTCACAACCCCCCTTTGGGGCTGGGAAGGGCCGGAGGGAGAGGAAACTTCCCTGCCCTGGCTTCCCCCTACTGCACGTGGCCCCCACCAAAAAAAGCAGAAAAAGCCGTGGCCACCTCCTCAAACCTGCTGTGTTTGGTGCCCCCCCTGCCTCCCACCCCAAGCACCCCAAACCCTTGGCATGCCATAGGAAGGGAGGCAATGGACAGTGACAGAGGGCTGCCACCTTTATTGGGCCTGCTGGGTCGTGCCCAAAAGGGATAGCCAGTGCATGGCTACGGGCTGGGAGAGGCTGGAAGCAGGGAAGGGCATTTTTAAGGGTTCAAAGGCATAAAAAGGGGCTCAGGCAGGAGCATGCTCCCCTCTGGACTCAGGTAAGGCAACAGCAGGATGGGGAAGGGAGGCAGTTTTGGGCCCAGAACATCTGGACGTGCCTCTGGTGGCAGCTTCCTCAGCGGGGAGTCTTTTTCTTCCTCCTGCCAAAAGCAGAAGGGGGAGGAACGTGTGAAGACAAGTTCCCACGGGGTGCCCCTGGTGCTCAGGGAGAAAAGGGAGCTTACAGGTGAGGGAGGTCCTGCAGGAGTTTCTTCACCCAGAGGGTGTCAGGATCCACACAGACCCTCTTCCGGCTCTTCAGCTTAATCCTAGAAAACACCAGCCTTTCAACAATGCCACTTCCCTCGGGCACACAGCTGAGCCTCCAACCCTCCTCCCAGTGAAAACGAGCAGGGAACCGAAGAGATCCAGGGCAGACGGGAGGAGCAGAGGGCGTGCACCCCCGGGAGCCACTTACACCACCTCGGGCCGCCGGCAGCTGCTCCCCACGGGCCACACCTCGATGCTGCTGTACTCGACCGGCGGGATGAAGGCTCGGGTGCTCTTCAGGCAGCGGCAGCTCAGGTTGCCGTTGGCTTCCAGGATTGCTGGAGGGGCACACGGCCATGGCTCACCCCAAAACCCTCCCTGGGCAACGCACCTCCCGCCACGTCCCGCCAGGATCACCCAGCCCATAACCGGGAAAGCCTCACCTGTGTCCCCAGGCTGGTGGGACAGCAGCAGCAGCCCCAGCAGCAGGGCTGCCCGCACAGCCATGCCGGCCCAGCCCCGGGCCCCGCAGCATCCCTCTATTTGAGCTGGGAAATAGGAGAAGTGAGGCGGCACGGGAGGCCCCGGGGTCGCCGTGGTTTTGCCCGACCCCTCTCCCTGCTGAGTTGGCAACAATGACAATAAAACGCGGCTTGGGGCTTGGCAGGAGGCCTGGCTTCCCGAAAGCGGCTCTGCTTTCCCCTTCCTCTCTTGGTCGTTTCCTCCCGTTTTGTTCTTAGCACACACAGCCCCACGAGCCCAGAGGTTTTCTGGGGTGCTTTTCTCTCCTGCATGATTGGGTATTACTCATTTCTCCTACAACGACGTTGTCCCCCTGCAAGGCACAGCCCAGCAGCACCCCGGTGACATTTTTTTATCCCAAAACTCTGCCAAGTGACATCATGCTCATTCCCGACATATTTCCTTACTGGTCTGGACTGGTTTTTAAAGCCTTACAGCCACTTGTAAATCCCAGCTCCATCACTTGGATGTGGGGCACTTGGGCTGGATTGTCCCATCTCCTTACCACCAATATCGTGCCCTCAAATCATCACCAGGAGAGATAACAGGTTATGATGGGAAGGACCCCTGACAAGAGGGAATGGTTTCATAATACCAGAGGGAATGGTTAGATGGGATACTGGGGGGAAATTCTTCCCTGTGAGGGTGGACAGGCCCTGGCACAGGGTGCCCAGAGAAGCTGTGGCTGTCCCTGGAGGTGTTCAAGGCCAGGTTGGACAGAGCTTGAAACAACCTGGGATAGTGGAAGGGTTCCCTGTCCATGATAGGGGGATCCCACCCAGACTGGATGGGATTTGAGGTCACTTCTAATCCAAGCTGTCCTATGATTCTGTGTCATACATGGCTTCAAAGCTAGGAGATCCAGGGAAAATACAACAGAAAGAAAAATCCTGAATTTTATTGGACTTGAGCTTCCAGAACAGGACATGCCACGCTGTGCTAACACAATCCTCAGACACACACACTGTCGCCGAGCACTTGACATGGAAAAAGTCACAAAGTCATTCCTAAAGAAGCAAGAGCAGCCCCTGCCAGGGAACAGCTTCGCAGTCCACAGGCAACTAAATAAATGAAGGATTGCTATTCACACTGATGCAGGGACCAAGAGCAGGGGAGAACCTCACCAGGAACCTGCCACGGGGCTGGGGCCAGCAGTGAGTCACCCTCCCCACAGCCACTGCCACCAGAGCCAGACGTGGGGCTTTCAGGAAGGGGAGGAAGAAAGGGCAGAGTGAGGAGCAGCCAGGTCTGCACACTTGGGCATCATCCACCAGCCCGCCTCGGGGCTCTGGGCACCAACTTCCTTAGCAGGAAACTTACTTTTTCTTCCTGCAAAAAGCAGAAGGAGGAGAAATGTGTGAACACAGACAAGAGTAGGTCCGGGAGAGGAAGCTCCTGCCCCAGCCAGGGAAGTCGCGGCCATTTCCCCGGGGCAGGCATCACTCACTGGGATGGCCACAAACCCAGCACGGGCACGACCAAGAAGGGGAGCTTTCCCAGCCCAGCATCTACACACTACTGCACCTGCCACGAGCAAACCCCACTGCTGCCACTGCTCCCCTCATGGTTTTTCCCCCCAAACTGCCTTGGAAGTGCAGCACTGTGCATAAGCCAGGGGAGGCATGACCCACAGATGGGGTGTGTTGGGCTGAACGCTGCTTTGCACAGCAAAGTGTTGCCCCTCATCCCTTTGGAAGCGAGTCCTTTGGACAGCAGCAGGCCCTCCAAGAGCTCCTGGGCCCACAGGAGTTTCCCAGAACCATGGATGTGCTGGGATGCTGCCCAGGGACACCTGAGCCAAACGAGTTTCCATCCAACAACTTACATGCTGGCAATGCGCTTCAGCAGCTTCTTTACCCAGGGGGCCTCGGGATTCACACACACCTTCCTCGAGGTTCTTAATTTAATTCTGAAAGGCAACGAGAGCTCCTGAGCATTCCTGTCCCTCCAAACACAGGGATTCAAGCAGCCAGAGCTGATGGGGAAGACTCAGTTTTCTCTCACAGCACCAGTGATTGGAGAAAGCTTCCAGAGACAGAGGAAGCCATGGCATGGCTGGGAACAAGCAAGACACCACACATTCCTAGGTGGAGCAGAGACTTGAAGCCCAGAACACTGCTCAAAGACAATTTTTTTTGAGATTTACAAATGTATCAACACCAAGCAGCTATAAAAATCTGGGATATTTTGTTATGGCTCATGCTGCCTCAGTGTCTGAGAAAGTGCTTCCTCCAGGCTGCAAGCACCCCCTGATCCAGCTCGAGGAAATCACACTTTCCCCTACTGGAAAGATTCCTTTAGGCCCTGGGGAGCTGCGTTTCTGCACCTGATGTTTCTCAGCAAGTAAGCTGGTGGCGTTTTTGGAAAGGTTTGGCTTCCAGCAAGGCAGCAGAGAAGCAGGATGGTGGCAGCAGAGAGCCCGCGGCACTTACATGATCTCCGTGCGCCTGCAGCTGCTGCCCACGGGCCTTATCTCAATGCTCTCGCATTTCTTGGGACTGATGTATTCCGAGGTTGTCTTGGCACACCTACAGCTCAGGTTCCCGTTCACCTCCAGGATGGCTGGGAGAGAGAGAAGGTGGCATCTTACAGGCACAGACAGCGCTGACAGGGATGCAGCAGTGCTGGGAGCCAAAGGAAGTCTCACTGACCACACTGCAGGGACCCCACTGAGAAGCTGCCACCTGCGCCTCTACCTCGGCTCCCTGCTCCCACACACCGCTCCCAAAAGCTCAACCAAACCCCTGCAAAGGATGGTTGCCTTTTCCCCTGGCAACAAGGCAAGCCCTCAGCTAAACAGGCAGGAGGATCCCAGGCTCCCCAGCCGCTCTGGGCACAGGGTGATGCCAGCAAAGCCACCCGGAGCTCACCTGCGTGGGCAGAGTGGGACATCACCAGCAGCAGCAGCAGCCATGGGAGCAGGGGGGCTCCTGTCCCCACCCCAGCCGGTGCTCCCATGCTCGGGGAAGGCTCAGCCCTTCAGATGCTCTGCAGGACCACCAAGAGCCCTATTTATCAGCGAGGGTCACGCCCCGACACAGGCACAGCATTCACACCTCAGCAGTCACAGGTGGCCAGCGGAGCATCGAGAGGTGATGTCATTTCTCAGATGCTCCCCGGAGCCGGTCCAGAAGCTCAGTATTATTAATTAAAACCAGCCATTGGGACAGAGTGCAACGTTTGGATCCCCCACACATCTCCCCCACGCCTTGTTTCTCTGGGGTTTGTACCCACATCACCCTTCATTGCCTTGAGCATTTACCCCTCAGCCACAAAAAAAGCCCAGAATGAAAGCAGAGCCCAAGCCCCTAACTTAGCAAGGGGGTTTTTAGTGTACTCGGACATTTACATATTTATTTCTTGGGGCTATATTTTCCCCACACTATTTTTGCTGCCTCTCTCATCAGCAAAAACGCCTCACATCATGCTGTGGAAACACAATAATGCTCTGTGTTTCCACTCACACTTTCGAATTTGACACTTGGCTGGGCAAGTAACTCACCCAGGATGGCCACTGTGCCCTCAGATGTCGGTGGGATGGGGGCTTTGCCCTGAAGAGATTTGGCAAAGTCACCAGTTGGGAAGCAAAAGGGGAAGGGGATATGTGGTGAGGCGAGGAGGAAGGAAGAGGGCAGAAGAAAGAGATGTGGTTGTGTGATAATGTTGTAATTTGGAGCTTTCAAATCACATCAGCATTTTATATAGTAACAAGATGGTGAATTTAAAAAAAAGTCTTCCACTCAAACTGAAGCTACGCATCTCTCTTTGAAAATCTTGGTTTTTCCCCTGAGATAGGTCCAAAAGTCTTGTGAAGAGCTTGTCCAAGAGATGACTGAGGAGTTTAACTCCCTGTACACCAGGGTCACACAGAGGCCAGGAATTTCCATGAGCTATTCCCAAAGTCCTACAGAAAGAATGGGTGCCTGGCTGTAACAGCAGTGGAAGAGGAGATGGCCTTGAAGCTTTGTTTAATCCTTTCAGAGCTTTCAATTTCCTTGCAGAGAGTTATTAGAAGGAACACAACCAAGGACTGCTTTTGCTGGGTTGTGGCAGGAGTCTTTTGGAAAAAATGGTGGCAAAGGCAGTAATTTATCAGAGAGTTGAAGAGTCACCTATGCAAACTGCTATGGAGGAATAAAAGACATCTGGAAATCTTTCTGAAGTTCCTGACTACAAAATGATCCTGCTTTTGACAGCTGGGAAAAAACAAGAGAAGTGAAAGCAACTTTTCCCAGAGCTGCACAATGGAAAAGATGGAGCTGGAGCATTCAGCTGCTGCTCTTCCAGGACTGGAGGAATCCAGCAGCATTCCTGGCAGTGCTTCATGAAATTGGTACAAGAAGAAAACCATCCCTGGACACATGCAATGGACAGTCCAAGATGAGTCCATGTCCCTGATTTGTGGCCACAGGGCAGGTGCCCACCTCCTGCCTGCCCTGGAAAGAAGCAGGAGCTACAGAAGCATCAGCTGGATGGATTTTGAGAGGGTCTGTGAATACCACAGCACTGTGATGGATGAGTGAGGTGTAACTGAGCAACACTGGGGTGGTTTCTCAGAAGGAAAAGCCACAGCCACGGTGGTGGCAGATATTTCTGCACAATGATGGTAATTTTGCAAAGGGAGAAGCAGGGTGATGATGTGACCCATGACTGGATTTAAGCTGACTGCTTCCTGGGTACCAGGAATTCAGAAGAGTGGCCCTCACAGAGGGATGTGTGGCCTCATCCAGACCAGCACCAGCTAAAATACATACAAAGCACCCTCACACTTCCTCTGTTTTCTGCAGCAGCTGCCCTTGTGCCGGCAAGATTTTGATTTTATTCTTTTTTTTTCATCCTTCTCATGGTACTTAAATCAGAGACCTCTAAAAAAAGTGGTGCAAACAGCACCTGAAGGCCACATGGAAAATCTTTTCCACGTTTACAAGAATGGGCAGAAACCCAACCCTGATGACAATGCCAAGGAGATGTGGCCCTCCAGCCCTTTAGGGAGGATTCAAAACAGGCTGCATCACAAACATCTGCAGCAAACAAACCTCTCAGCCATGCTGAAACCACTAACTCTGTGTTGAGAAAAAGAGATTTTTCAGCTTACCCCTCCTTTGCCCAACTCACTCAGGGCTCCTTGCAGGAGAGAAAAAAAAACCCAAAACCTGTGGGTTTTTGTGTTTTTTTTTGATGATCCCCTAAAAACCCCAACCGCAGTGAATCGTCACCACTGTGGTTTGTGGTCCATCACCTGCTTCAAAGATAAAGATGCCTCCTGCTGAAACCTGAAACCCACACATATTTCAGTGTCAACATGAGAGCACCAGAATTAGCCAAAGCCTAACGAAATCAGTCCAAAATTAGGCTGGGGGAACAACACATTGAGCTCACTGTTACTTGCTGCCTTCAAGTGAAGATTCATGACTTGCTGGTGATGCAAGGGGACAAAATTGTGGGTTTGGCCCATTTTTGGAGACAGCAGAGTGGTGTCACACACCTCTGCAAGCAGGTAAATAAAAGTATTTGGTGTGCTGAGGGCTAAAGAAGGCAACATGGTAAGAGGAAGCTTTGAAAGGGCTTAGATAAGGATGATGGAAAACTGCTGGGAGCAAGAACAAGAGAAATTGAAGAAGACTTGTAGGGACTGTAAATTCAACATTGCTGCCTCCCCAGTGCACCTGGAGCCGTAGATGTGTGGGGCAGCTTTCTGCTGAAGGGACAGCAGCAGACATTGCTGCTACACAGCCCCACAGTGGGGACAGTTTCTGGGAAGTCCTGGCCACCCCAGAGATGCAAATAGCAGCGAGCAGGAGAAAACCCCCAGACTGCTGTGCCAGCTTGTCCTTGCTGCTAGAAAAGCACCATGGGGAACACCCCAGCGCCCCCTCACTGCTCCAGAGCTCTCAACCCTTTTGCAGGCAGAGTTACCCCGAAATGAACCCAACACGGAGCAGAGGAGCACTGCTGTTCCTCAGTGCACTGCTGCCTGGCATGGAGCACGGCAGGCAGGAATGGGAGCCAAGGGCTTTCCCAACAAGTGTCACCGAGAGTGTCCCGGCTCGCTGCCCACACATTTGTATGCGGGCACAGGAACCCGTCTAGACGCCGCAGGCGCCGTTGGCCATTTGCATGGGGGCGCCGTGTGACACTGATGGCTCAGGCCTGGCCATGGAGCATGGGGATGAGGAGGGAAGCCTTCATCCTGCAGCAGGAGCCAAGGAACTCAGCTGTGCCTGGCTGCCCTCGTGTCAAGCCCGTGTTCTACACATCCCCGCCTGGCCTCTGGCTTTGAGCACTTCCTTCTGGGCTAGTGAAGAAGCACTCCAGGTCTACTCACAAAACCAAAACTCCTCCAGCTACATCCAGCCATGCTTCACAAGCTGGAAAGATTCTGCTGAACTCAAAGGCTGCGATTGCTGGAGCTGAATTATTCCTATTTGGGCAGCATATCCAGGCAAACACTTGGCAACAGTCCTGGCACCAAGATCTCCAGGAGTGTTATGGCAAAGTCTCCTTCCCTTCCCCTTGAAGTTTGACATCTTGATAAATGCAGCTACAAGTTTGGTTAGAGTCTGGTTAAACATTTTATATTTTTCTAATTATTCGTGGTTTCCATTCTAGTTGAGCCCATAATTTAGTTGTCCCCACATTACTTGCAGAATAACCCATAACTATTACATCTGGTATTCAACATGGCCTTGACCCATTTTGTACTGGCTAAGTGAGAAGACAGTAGGCCATCCACGGCAAACAGTGCTTCTCCTCAACCACATACACAGGTAAAAACACACCAGGAATGGAACCAAACTCAACCATGCACCTTGGGCTTACACCCAGAGTTGTAGTTTTCATTAATGTCCACTTCATGTTTTGAGGCCCCTCCTCTTCTTGTCAAGTGTCCCTTCACTTTTTTCCCTGAGGGAAGATGCTTTCCCTATATTTAACTCACAAGCCACCACAGGAGGAGAGATTTTTATATTAGAAAAAAACCCAAACAAGCCAAGAGCAACTGTTTTCTAGCAGCAAGTAGAAGTGCACAGGACAAGGAGGGGAAATCCAGGTCTTGACTGAGAAGGAAGCTGCAATACCAATGAAATGAGCAGCCCTCCCTTTGGAAAGCCCCTTGTCAACTTTTCTCTTGGAACCAGCACCCCTGAATCAGCACTCACACTCAGAGATGCTCCCAGAAAAGACAGAGAAACACCAGCCCAACTTCTGCAAAGAACGTACATCTCAGCAGCTCAAAGAATCGATACTGAAAGGAGCTGTCTTGGGCTAAAATAATCCAGCATTGCCCAGATTTGGGAAGTGAAAGAAAGGTGGGTGGAGCACACAAGTGGTGCCCCAGGCTGGGAGGTCACCAAACTCTGTCCTGGCAGGGGGAAACAGAGAGGGAGATGAAAGAGCACAGCACAGGGAGAGAAGAAAGGCTCGGGGAGACACATGAAAGTGAAACCAAGAAGCAGAAAGCCATAAAAACCATGAAATCTGCTTTGATCTTTCCTCAGCTTTTATCTCCCCTGTCACTCACAACACACACCCTGAAAACTTAGCAAGGCATAGAGACTCAAATCTGTCACAAGGCACAGCCTTGGGTTAGATACAGAACATTACTGAAGCTGTTTGGGTATCTCCCCTCCCTTCCATACCCCACATTGCCGTGGTGTTTGGGGACACAACATTTCACCTGGCACTTCTGGCCACGTGGAGTACAAGGAAGGCACTTGGAAAGATGTTTCCCAACAACAAAATGAGGGACTTTCCTCTTGCCTCCAGGTTGGGGCTGGGGGAACGTGGGCAGTTTAAATGCTGGCATTGGGGAGGTACAAGGTTTAGACTTGCCGTGGCAGGAGGATGCTGAGTAAAAATAAATTTTAAACATATGTCTATCATAAAGCACCACCTAGGTTCTCACTTTGCTGTGCGTGCAGGCTCAGAGCTGGGACCACTAGAGAGCAGCAGACACCACC